CAAATTCGAATTCTAATGGACTTTGAATTATTTTTGAAACATTTTAAAACTTCAATTTAAGTCCAAAAACATTTTTTAAATTCAATTCAAGTCCAAAAACATTTTGCCTTAAATTGTTATATCAAAACATAATTCAACAATCTCCCCTTTTTTGATATAACAAAACATTTGAAAAATTGTTTTTGGCAAAACTCCCCCTTAATAAATTGTTTAATGAAAAAGATATCAATTGTTAAGAATTGTTGGAAGATATATGAAAATGTTAAGCTCCCCCTTTTTCATTATGTTAAGCTCCCCCTGTTTCATTAAGAAATTGAATTTTTCAAACCAAACTTCTCCCCCTTTTTGTTATATAAAAAATAATTCAATCTTTGAAGTTCAAAATAACTTTGGAGAGTAAGTGATAAATTTGACATTTAAAATCATTTGAAAAATCAAAGCTCCCCCTCAATAATAGTATTTCAAACAAAATTTAGCTTTTAAGATCATGGCACTTAAACAAAATTGATTTTCAACAAAGAATAGCAAACATGTTAGTAGCACATGAAATTCAATATATCCAAGACTAAAATACTTTATGCAATACCAATTGTTGAAATTTGATATCAATACCAATTGTTAAAATTAAGTGCACATGCATAAAGTTATCCAAAAATGTTATGCATTTTGAAAATTTTGATATCAATTGTTAGAGAGATATCATTTTCATTTAAACCACATGCATAAACATTCAACTTTAGGTCAAAAATTTAAAATTTGTAAAATAAAAGTATTTAAAAAAAATTGATATCAATTGTTAGAGAGATATCATTTGCATTAAAACCAATTTTGACCAAAATTTTATTATGATGAACTAAAAATTCTGAAAATTTATTAAAACTTTAAAATTGTTCATCATACCAATTGTTTTCAACATACATGAGATTAAAACAAAACATAATCATTTAATATCACAACTCATGCATGCTTAAAATCAAATGAGCAACCAAATAACCAAAATTAAAACATTAAGCTTAGAGATTACCCATTCCTTTTTCATGTGTGACTAAAGCATCTTGAATATCATCATTTTCATCACCATTGGTCCCACACACCTACAAGAGACATTTAAGTAGATTTTGGTATCCAAATTGCTTTGGATCCTTGGACGTTAGTTTCAATGCCCCTTGTTCCTTTCGAAATCCACACTTGTCTAATTTTAAAACGTTTTCCTTTCTTCAAAGGAAAATTATGTTCCATATGACCATGATAATGGCAATGTGAGCATTTTTCCATATTTAAACATAATAGGTTGTTTTTAGAAATTAATTCTTTTTCTTTTATTAAGCTTTCAAGCTTAACTCCTAACTCAAAATTTTCTTTTTCTAAATCATTTATTTTAATTTCTGAAAGCTCTAAATTATTTTTCAAAATTTCATTTTGTTTTTCAAAATCAATTTTTGCTTTCAAAATCAAATTATCTTTAATTTTGAGTTTTGAAATTAATTTTGTATATTTGAAATTCATGGTCTTAAATCCCAAATACAACCTATTATAAGCATCTTGTAACTCATCAAAAGTAAATGAATTAAATTCATTTGAGTTAGAAGATACCTCGAATTCTTCTTGAGTGGCCATGAGGCATAGGTTGACTACTTCATCTTCATCATTGGAATCATCTTCATCGCTCCAAGATGCAACAAATGCCTCCTTCCCCTTTTTCTTTAGACGAGGACATTCATACTTGACATGCCCCTTTCTTTGACAATTGAAGCACACCAGGGGACTCTTCTTCTTGGTTGATTCATGTTTCACTTCCTTGTAAATCATGAATCTCTTGAGTTCCTTCAAGAGCTTGACCATCTCTTCTTCTTGTCCATCATCATCTTCATCCACCTCATCACTTGAATCTTGATAGCTTTCATTGGTGGATTTGAAGACAATGTCTACCTCCTCATTCTTCTTCTTCTTGTTGTTGTTTTTCTTCTCTTCCCTTTCTTCATCTTCCTTCACCATCATCTCATGAGTGAGAAGGGAACCAATTAGCTCGTCGAGAGTGACAGACTTTAGGTTTCTTGCTTTGATAATGGTCGTCTTCTTCGATTTCCACTCCTTTGGAAGAGAGTAGTTCATCTTCCTCACAAGCTTCTCATTTGGGATTACTTCTCCATATCCCTTGAGACCGTTGACAATCACGGAAAATCTATCCGTCATAGCTTTGATGTCTTCATCGGGTTTATCTTGAAGTTCTCGTAGCTATGGTTGAGAAGACTTTTCTTTGATTCTCTCACTTCGTCGGTTCCTTCATGAGTGACTTGGAGCTTATCCCAAATCTCTTTGGCATTGGAACAAGATGAGATTCTTCCATATTCATTTGGGCCTAAAGCACATAATAGAATATGTATAGCCATAGAATTAAACTGGAAATATTTCTGCTCTTCTCTACTTCAATCATTGTATTTACTGGGTGGAGAGGAGTAACATTCCATGATTGAGTTCCAAGCTCCTAGATTGTAGGATTGAATAAAGTAGATCATCTTATTCTTCCAATATGCATAATTTGCTCCATTGAAGAAGGGTGGCTTGTTGACCGGTTGTGAATCCATAATAGGATATTCTTTAAGATAATAAGCACCGGAAGAAAAAGTCATTTCTTTATCGATTACGTCGGGAATTGGTAGAGCTTCTTCGAGGATCGTCTCAAGGTGGTTAAACCTTCTTAACGAGTTAGGCTCTGATATCAATTGTTAGGATTTTCGGAAGCTCGAATTGACAACCGGAATTGTTTGTAATAGGGTCATAACGGTTTTTGTGTTTAGGGAGTAAGGAGATTGAAAGATAGAGATTTGCACATCGATTTATAGTGGTTCGACTTTCTTAACCAAGTCTACATCCACTACCTTAGCTCCTCACCAAGGATTTTCCAACAAATTCACTAATCTGTTCTTTCTTTTGAGGACAAAGAGATAACCTTACAACTCCTTAGTTTTTCCGGGCTAAACTAGAACCTTTCCCTAGCTTTTACACGGGCTAAGCTAGAATATTTCCCCTTTTTAAAAGGATAAGAAATGTAAACAAGAAAACCTCTCTAAGTTAGGTGTTTACAATAATTAAGCTCACAAAAATAAAATATTTACAAGAGAAAGATGAAATAAGAATGAAAAACTCTTCTCTTGTGTTTGATTGATTGGATAGTTGTTCTCTTTATTCTTCAAGTGTCCTCAGCTTGTATTTATAGCTTGAAATGAGTTTGAAGTCGTATATAGCCGTTGGAGATGTTTTAGAGTCGTTTGGGGATGATTTTTCTACTCAAAAAGGTTGCCCACGATAGGGGGTATCGGTACTCCTTCATAAAATTCAAATTAAACTAGTCGTTGCAGCCAAGGGGTATAGATACCCTAGGGGGTATCGATACCATGGGGGTATCGATACCATGGGGGTATAGATATCATTCGAGCAATCTGGAATTTGAGCCTTCAGGGGGTATGGATACCCCTACAAGGGGTATCGGTACCCTATAACATTTTTGCTCAAATTCGAATTCTAATGGACTTTGAATTATTTTTGAAACCTTTTAAAACTTCAATTTAAGTCCAAAAACATTTTGTGAATTTAATTCAAGTCCAAAAACATTTTGCCTTAAATTGTTATATCAAAACATAATTCAACAGACCCGAACCTGGACCTGTAAAAAAATAAAATAAAATTAAATAAATAAGTAATAATATAAAAATAATAAATAATCATAAATAAATATATAAAATATATAATATTATTTTTCAGAAAATAAAATATTTTAAAAATTATATATCATATGTTTTCAAAAACTATATTATATATACTTTTTTAAAAAGTATATATTATATATTTTTCAAAAAATATTTTCAAAACTATATATTATATATATTTTTAAAATGTTTTCAAAACTATATATTATATACATTTTCAAAATGTTTTCAAAACTATATATTAGATATATTTTTCAAAAAACATTTGCAAACTATATATATATATATATATATATATTCAAAAATCATTTTCAAAGCTATATAATATATATATTTTTAAAATAAATTTAAATATGTTTTGAAATTATTTATAATCTATGCGTATATTTCTTATTGGATAAAGTATAATATGTTTTAAGATAAATTTAAAAGAATCGTTTTTATTCCTAAAAATCACGGGTTCGAGCACCAATAACTATAGCAGAGTGATTGAACATTCATTGTCAAATGGTGGAGAGTATTTAAAACAAATAATAATTTATAATGACTTTAGCTTAATAAAAAAATATCATTGAACTACCTTAAATGATTTTTTGTAATATTATATTAATTGCAGAGATTTGATAAATTCAATAATTGTTTTATAATTGTTTAACAAATTTAATCATCTCATAACTAGATATGATAACGGATTGGAATTTTGATTAGCTTGATCCCATAAACATATATGATTTATTTGAATTTAATTCGATTCGAGATACATAAACCTTGTATTCGAATCAACTTGAGGAAGCATATTTCTTCTATCAGAAGCCATCCAGCTCAAATATTTAGTAAAAACTTTTATTCAACGTGAACCGATATAAATATATGAAAATTAGAGAATTAATTAAAACATATAGCGGAGCGAGTATTATTGCAATTATTCCTATTTAATTTAGCCTATTTAGAATCAAATTGTCATCAAAAGCCCAAATTGTGTTAGTGATCAATCGTCGGAGTCCAGCCTCATGGTGCCAAGTGCCAACGACTTCTTGATTCCAGATTTCTGCTCTGCAGTTAATCTCGCCGGGAATTTGATATTGATCTTGATTCTTAGATTACCTCTCTTGGACCGATCTCTCAATATTGGCATACCTTCCATAGGAACGATCTCCTCATGGCTTGGATTAATCACATCGGTGATGGGGACGGTCAAATTCCTTCCATCCAGTGTCGTCAGACGGACTGTGTAGCCCGTTAATGCCTCGGAAAGCGATATCTTCTGCGTGACGATCAGGTCATCGCCGTCGCGTGTGAATGTTTTGTGGGGCTTCTCGTTGATTGTGAAAACCAGATCCGCAGGGATTGCATACGGCCGTACGTTTCCTTTCTCCGGGAAGGTAATCTTGGTCCCCTTTTTCCATCCAGGTTTGATTTCAATAGTCAGGATTTCCTCCGCTGTTACTGTCTTCCTACAATACCACACGGTAAACTTTGTAAGCTTTCATCATTTTCGCAAACACAAAACAACAATGTGTTCGTGTCCAAAATTTTGCAGGATTTCCTCCAAATGGCAGGGACAGAAGACAAAAGGGAACAAAATGCAACATTAGGAAAAGAGACGAACCCATTAGCATCTGAAATTTCTCTTGAAATCTTCATCTTCTTGAGGATTCCTTTATACAAATCCTCTAGGCTACAAGGTAGTGTAGTTTCAACAGGAGGAGCTTTATGAGTACTTTGATCCATTGGTCTACTTCCACCAGAGGAACTGGATGCATCATCACCAAATATGTTACCAAATACCCTTGAACCACCTCCCATCCCACTGTCGCCGCCGCCGCCACCTCCTCCCATTCTCCTATAGGGAATAGAAAACCCAAAAAATTCTGCGAAAATGTCATCAGCAGTCCTGGGGTTGGCACTTGGCCTTGAACTCTGCTGCCACCACCACCATGTGAAGGTGGAACTTGGCCTTTCAGCCCTTCTTTACCTTACCGATCATAGACAGCTCTCTTCAGTGGATCGCTTAAAACCTGCAAACATCAAAGTCGGGTAACTTTTTACTATGAATGTAAGCTTTGTGTATGGAAAAAAGATGAAATTTTTTAGTTGATGGGAAATCTTAAGGCCTGAATTGAAGGAGAACCATATGATCAATCTGTGATTGTCAACAAAGGAACCCAACTCTTTCCTATGAAATTTAACAAATAATTAATAGATAAAAAGCCAAAAAAGAAAGGGAAAAACCTCATAGGCTTCAGAGATCAGTTTGAATTTAGCCAAAGAAGCCTTCCTCAAATCATCATCTGTTGCATTCTTGTCAACCTGAAGAATCTTGTAATAATCTACATCCATCTTCTCTTGTTCTTTGTCCTTCTCCCTAAAGCTTGTAGTTTCTTTCTTTTTATCTTTGTTTTAGTCAATTATTAAACTATGATTTTAGGATGTTTTGGAGAATAAAAAAAATATGGTGTGGATTGCTGGAATAGATTCAAAGTTTCAAGTATTCTTATTCGTACAAGACAATGGAAAACTCGTCGTTTCATTGTCAGATCGATGGAAAACTTGTCCAAGTAGCACTTATTCTCTTGCTCGCTCGACCCTTTTAAAAAAAAATAGGATTAATATAAAAATAATTGTATAAATTATTCCGTTTTTCGTAAAATGTATCTAAATTTTTTCCCATCAATTTCAATTTTTTTCTCAGCAAAAAGCATTTCATTAAGGTAGACCAAAATTAACAGCCTCGTTAAAACCTTCTAAACTTGACGAGGAAAATAGTACTAACATGGGCAATTACAAAACCATTAGCACAAAAGCTGCAGTCAAAGCAAACAACCATAACATCCAATTGAGCACGACACTGCAGCCTAAAGCAAACACACACAACACCAGCAAAATCATCACAATACAATGATAAGCAATAGCTGCAGACGACACTACCAACACCCAAAGACCACACCCGTTATCAACACCAAAACAGACCCGAGGCTTTCAAAGTACAAGCCACACACAATGGCAGCACACAAACAACTACCACCATGTTTTGAACATCACATCTCTCAACATGCCTCTTTTGCTAAGTGGTCGGCCATCCCATTTTGCGTTCTCAGAATATAAAAGTACTGCAGTGTCGAGCATACCTCTTTTGCTAAGTGGTCGGCCATCCCGTTAGGCGTTCTCAGATTATAGAAGTACTGCAGTGTTGAAATTGTTCTTGACAGTATATCAACTTCATCGAAAACGCTCCACCATTTCCACTGCCTTAATAGTGGAAAAACGCCATTCAGGGCTACTTAACAATCCAATTCCACCACGAGGGGTGTTTTTCCTACTCATCTAGCCTCTATGACGTCAATCTAGATATCTAACATTATAAATGTTATCACTTTTAGTGTTCGATGCCTTTAGAGTTAGCATCTGTTTCAAGGTAGAAATTCTTTGTGAAGTTAGGCAAAGCGAGAAGTAGGGCCTTGCGCATGGCTTCCTTCAAATTTTCAAAAGCTAACATAGCTTTAGGTGACCATATAAACTTGTCTTTCTTCAGCATGGTAAATAGAGGTTTACTAAGTTCCCTATAGCCTTTAATGAACCTTCGATATTGGCCCGTGAGTCCCAAATAACCCCTTAATGACTTCAAGTTTTGAAGAAAAGGTCATTGTTGCATTGCTTACAGCTTGGAAAAATCTATAGCAACACCCTTATTGAAAAAAAGCATGTCCCAAATATTCAACTTGAAGCTTCCCAAAAAAATACTCTTTTTTCATAAAGTTGGTTATTCTTAAAAATCTCTAGAACAGTCTTAAGATGCATTTCGTGACTCGGTAAGTCTAAACTGTAGATTAAAATATCATCAAAGAAGATCAACATGAATTTTCTCAAATAAGTACCAAATAAGTTATTCATCAGGGCCTAAAAATTTGCAAGTGCATTGGTTAAATCAAAGGACATCACTTTGAATTCAAAATGGTCATGATGAGTTCGAAAGGTTGTCTTAGGGATATCTTTCGTTGTAATCTTTATTTGCCAATAGCCTGACCTCAAATCTAATTTATAGAAGTAAGTTGCCCTGGTCAATTTGTCTAATAGATCTTCTACCACAAGAATAGGAAATTTGTTATTCACTGTTATGGCATTAAACTTCCTGTAGACAATACACATTCTCCAACTCTCATCTTTCTTCTTGACCAGCAAACAAGGTGAGGCAAACGAACTCTAGCTAGTCTTAATAACAGAAGAAGATAACATTACAACAACTAGTTTTCAATCTCAATTTTCTGATGAAATGACATTAGATAAGGTCTAATGTTAACTGCTTCAGCATCAGGTTTCAGGATAACAGAATGATCATGTTTTCTCTAAGGTGGTAGGCCAATAGGTTCCTTAAAGACCATTTGATATTCTTGTAATACTTTTTGAATTCCTATAGGAATAAATATCTCACAAATAGCACTTTCCAACATACAAATTTAATCACAAAGATCTACATCATTCTCCACCAATTTTTGCATCTTACTGCCTGATATCAATTTAACCATAGGAGTAATTTGTCCACCCTTCAGTGTAATCTCTTGACATGCACTCTGAAAGGTAAGAGTCATGTTTAAAATCCATCCACATAGGGCTATATTTCTTTAGCCAATCTACACCAAGAATTATGTCATTACCCCTTAGAGAAACACAAAAATCATGCTCAAATTGAAATCCGTGCATTCCCACCTTAGTTGTCTGCTTTTAGCTGTGATGTACAACTTTTCACTATTTTCCATAGTGATTGCTAATGGGTTCGTTTGCTCCAATTCAATACCCTCATTAGACCATCTATCAGTAATGAAACTATGGGTGGTTGATAACCCCATAAAAAGGCTATAATTTGTGTTTTTTACCTAGTTTATTGATTATTCAAAGGTATCGTTGTAGTATAGTGGTAAGTATTCTCGACTATCACGCGGGTGACCCGGGATCTATCCCTGACAACAGCGTCAAAAACTTGTTGTGTTTGTGGGTGTACTAAATTTGATACGCAAATATGTGCAAGTATACACAATCGAATAAGCAATAAAGTGATGAGTAAATATTGTCTCTACAAGAATTGGAGGGAATTCAAGTTAAGATTATTCACGTAAAATATTGACAAATTAATTAAAGATAGTATAAACAATTGATTGGGTGTTGTAACAAGTCTAAATTAAGTAATTGTTGTGGCAAACAATGAATAGGAAAATGTTGTAGCAGGAGAATGTAAATTGGGAAATGATGCAGAAACAAGACCACGATATAACCTCACACTACGAAAACTATCAATAAGACTAAACGGCTAGGTTTATCTTGGAATCCTATGTCTTTCCTTTAATAAATGTCAACAATTTCCAGCCCACACAATGCTTGACAGAGTTTTCTAAGTTGTTTCTAAACTATCTCTAGTAAGAAACCTGACAGAAAAATGCTTAAGTAATACCTCTTAGCATAAACCCTAACAAGATATTATCGTTTAAGCTTCACTCCTTTTAGTCATTGAAACTTATTCCTTATCTCTAAGGCAAGTTAGGGATTTACTTAACAGATCTACCCCATTGTTCATGTAGATTTAAGCTTAACTCTCTCTCGAAATCAAGCATCAAACAAAGATAAAGGCTATCTCTTGAAAGCTCTTACATATCCAAGCAATAAAATAGTGAACAAAGCATGAAGGTAAATTGAAAATTTCTATTACATTCATCAAAAGGAAAATGTAGTCATCCAAAGTAAACCCAAGCCAACTTAAGATAATTCATGGCTGGGTAACAAGCATCCATAATCATTTGTTTAATATAACCCATTTCAGAAATAAATAGAGGAAATAAAAGTAACAAAAGGAAGGAATAAGACTCCCAAGCCGAGAGCTACAGTGGACACTGTTAGTCGCCCTAAGCGCTGCTATTTCTCTCAAAGTCCAACAAGCTTTATTCCCTTGAAGCTCTAACAATGGAGGTCACCTTGATGGAGAAGAGAAGGTTGAAGAGTGGTTGTCTCTTCTTTTTCTCTTTCTTATCTCATGCACTCTCCCCCTCTCTTCATAAATGTGGTGTCCATTTTTTATATAGTGGGGACTTCTAGGGTTTTGTGCCCTCATTTTTAATGTTGCCCTAAGGGAATATACCCTTCACGTGTGATGTCAGCTGGCAGGTGTCATATGTGGGCTACCAAATTGAAATATCATCTACTTTTGTGTTCTAGTGCACCAAAAAATGTTGTCCCTTATACTACAACATAATCGTCCTTTCTCATAAGTTTCCTTAAGCATATCACCACAACAAAGCAAACTTTCCTCAAGCAGCATCAATTTCAGAAAAATAAAAGCCAAGTCAACAAAACACCACCAATTGTGAATGAATGTATTAAATGTAACTATATGCAATGAGATGAACTTTTGAACAACTAATAACCTAGGTAAAAAGGCATGAATTATAGCCTTTTCACGGGGTTATCAGTGTTACCACTATTCAATGATTTACCCTTGATACAGCCCTAAATACGCAAGGTATTATGACTTATTTGACTAGTTAAAGCATTAACTAATATCTCATAATCAGGTTCAACCTAAGGAATATCGCCTTGAATAATTTGTTCCTCATTAGAAGCGACTAACTATTCTTGATTATCGAGGTCTTCCATAAAGTTCAGCTGCTTAAGTTTGCATTGATGATCCAGGGAGAATTTATCGCCACATCGATAACACAAAGTATTTCATCTTAAAAATTCCAGTAAAGACTATTTAGGCTTGGTGTAGCTTGAGGTGTTCTCCTAGAAGGAAGTTGCACTGGCATAGGAATAGTCCTGGAATTAAAATTTTGATTAGGAAAACTGGTTGTGAGAGAATATTTAAACTTTCTATTTTCAACTTCACATGTGAGCTCATACAGCTTAGCTAATCAAAATACGGCATCTACAAATATAGGAGCATGTGCCTTAACTTTTTGTTTAATCTCATCCTTTAATCCACTCAAGAAGCTCGAAACAAAATACCTTTCCTCCAGAAAAAGGCTATATTGCAATATAAAAGATCTGAGCTCTTCAGACTTATCTTGATACTCATCAACCGAACCCTTTGGGTTAATATATTAAAATCATCGATAGCATCATTATAGTTTCGCTATAAAAACAGATGGCAAATGTTTGCAGCAAATTCATGCCAAAAAACTATATGTTTTTTCAAAATGTATCCATCGAACCAAGTAGCAACCTTGCCAATTAGATATATTACATCTATTTCTAATTTTTGATCTTCAGAAACACCAAAAATTAAAAAATATCGATGGCATTTACCCAAACATTCCCTATGATTCTCACCATTAAACGTGGGTAGTTCAATCTTAGGTCTAGGAGAAAAAAGTTCAGTGGATTGATTCAATGTAGTTATGTCATTCTGCTTAAAGTCAATCACCAAATCACTATGACTAACTTCTCTCACAGTATTTCCCTATTTACTTTGTTGATTATCTTGAAATAATAATGGTTTAGAAGCCAATAGCCGCAGTTCATTAGGATTAAAAGAGTATTTCTCATGTTCAATAAGCACAGTGACTTAAGTTGGTTTCTTACCTTCACTCTTAGTAAAGGCTCTTTCTTCCACCTTCTTACTGCTCTTAGGTGTTAACTGCTCCACATCTTCACCACTCTTGGCCATCAACGCCAAGATTCGTTGGAGATAGCCACGAGTTTAAGCAGAACTATCCTCCAAATCAGTAAAACGTTCTTCCCAACAAGCATTTTGTGCTTCCTACCACTTTGGAATCACCTCCTCTATAGATTCAACGGGTGAAGGACATGTATCGATTGGGTTTGTTTCCCCCATCTTCTAAGTTTTCTTTTGGTTCCCCAGCTTTAAAAAAAATCTTACTTATGGATCAAAAAACTTGCACTGATTAACAATTTGTCACGAACGACTTGTAGATTCAAGAAAGTGTTTGAGAAATTAGAGAGAAAAGAGGTTTGAAGGAAAAGGAATTCATTATTTCATTCATAAAATTCTCATTTGTCTGTTATAGTGCATATATAGTTTGGATATTTTGTACCGATTGTATTATTTATTTGAAAGTTTGACGTCCTTGATAACTGAACCGTTGCTGCTGCTTGTAGATGTCATCTGGCTCATGGGTCATTAAATCCTACACAGCCCACACCATGTTCTTTTGATCCATGACATAGCCCACATGATCTTTTGGGTCCCTCTATAACAACCACGTGCCTGACCGCTTCTCATTCAGTCTCAATTCCCAGTTCTTCAATCGAATCCCCCGTTCTAAACTTGAAATCCCTAATTCCTCTCCTTGTGTTGTGACAAACGCAAATTCAACTGCCAATCAACGACAAATGCGGCAGCGTATGATTAGAATGATAGCAGGGATTACATTAACGACAATGATTATGATCGGAAAGGCGACAACGGAGGTTAAGGTTAATATTTGAGGATTTTAGAAAATTTTATAATTTAAGAGAATTTAATTTTTTATAAATATAATAATTTTTTAAAGAAAATAAATTTCAAAATATCATATTATAACATATGTGATAAATTAACATCATTAACGGAAAATTTAACATTTAAAATAATATTGGTAAACCTATTTTCAAGAGTACTTGCACAATATTGAAATGGGCTCTGCCCTGATCTGTAATTGATGATTGGATCGAAAAAATAGCAATAAATTAGCAATATTGAAAGGGCCTTGATCGTTCTCTTACCATCTCCAAGACTAGATTTGTTAGCAAGGCAGCAATGGCGGTTTACCCGATTATCCTTCCCTCCATTTTCACCTGTTTCTTCTTCTTTTTCTTCTCTCTCGCGTCCCAAGATCAACTAAATGATGACAACCGCAATCTCTTGATCCGTGAACTGGATGACGCCAAGCTAGACCTCTCTCGTTTGGGTAAAATTCGCTTTCAATTTCTTTTCTAAATACTAGCTTAGAAACAAATACAAACATTAATCTTCACTCCTTCATGCTTGTAAACATGATTGCAGAATCTGTTATCGATGAAACAATTGAAAGGATCGATGCTAAAACCCTTATTCTCAAAGAACGCGAGAAGCTTCTCGAGGACATGGAAAACAAGATCGCTTATCTTCAGTCTGTTCTGTCCAGTCTTAAGGTTCAATTCTTTCTCAAGAAGCTTTGGTTTTATTAGTTTATAAGTGCAGTATAATTGCAAGTAGATATAATACACGTCTGAATAACTATCACTAGAATTAAGCATTACAAAGTATGTAGGCTAGAATAAATCTAGAAGAGCTGTGATAGACTTAAATCAGAATAAATCTGGATTGATAACCGTATTTACGATCCTGAAATGGGGATCTCAAAAGTTCCCAGATTGCATGTCTTTCCCCAATTGATGTCTAGAAAAGGGAAATGAGTAATTTGAAAATAGAAGATTGAATTGTACAGTGTACTGAGCTAGGGGTTATTCAGTTTGGACATTGCAAGTTGAAATTTTATTTTACATATAATTGCAGGATGAGTCATTACTTGCTGATGAAAGGCTTAAGGCTTTACAAAAGGAGGTTCGCTTTAAATGGCTTGTTATAAATATAATCTCTATTCCATTTGCTTCTCCTATTGGATTCCTTGCCTGATGTTATTGATGATTGGTAATAAATGCTTGGTTTATTTGCCATAAGCAACTGACGTGAGTTGTAGGCTTCATGCTCCTAGGTACGTTTGCTTTGGGATGTTTCGAGAAATAACAACTTTGAACTTCATGTTTTGGAATTGAAAGCACAAGACGCTGAGGATAGGCTCAAAGTTGTTACCTCAAAAGTTGAGAAGGTTGGCATTTTACTTTCACCGATTTCATTGCCGTGTAGACTGTCTGCTTTTGAATAATGAAGACGACTTCTTCTTTATCACTTCCAAGTTTGTTTGACATTGTGACCATCTAATACTCTGAATTACTGAGCATTTCTATGTATTAAAACCTTTATAAATTTTAAAAATCAAATTCATTGATAACAGAAAAAATGCATTAAAACCCATCTTATTGTTGTTCCAATTTTATGATATGCCCCTCGCCGGGGGGTGTTGGGTTCTGGTTGCCTTTAAGATGTATATCTTTAAACAGAAAGTTGTTTCTTTTCTCCAGATATTCTTATTAATTTGTTAATGGAAATGACCATTCTTGTCAGAACTCAATAGCAGCTAATTTGTCTTTCCTTGATTGTTGTGTAGAAGACTTGAAAATATTTATTTTATTTTGATTTTGTTATCTCTTGATATGCTTGATCTTGAAATTATTTTGTATTTTCCTCACTTTGATTTTCTTTCCCTTGCTTTTAGACAGCAGAAGTTGTTACAGAACAATGGATTCAGATTCAACATCTTGAGCAAGCACATCAAATTGCACAAGTATTGTTTTCCTTGGATGCTAGTGATATCAGTTATATGTTAATTCGTAAGGAAATTTAAAAGAAGGGAAAATAAAGTCCTGCCATTATATTAAATATTTTAATTTGCATCATTGTTTTTTGCTGTACAGATTAGGGCATTGCAATATCAAAGGAAAAGGTATATGAGATGCACATTCTTGAAGGTAATATATTAAGCTGACATATTCTTCCGGACACTTTTTATTCCTGTCTTGAGACATTTGATATTTTTTTTTAGTAAAACTATTTTTTCTATCAAAGCATTATGAACAACTATACTGTCGACAGTTACTTCTAATTAAAAGAAATGATATTCCTCTGCATGCTTATCTTTCATGCGTGTCTTATTCAAATCTAATCTTTATGCAAATGTAGTTCATTAGCGACCTTTCTGAAATACATCTTCCAAAGATGTTTGGGGCATTGGAACATTATTCATTTGGACTAGGGTCTACCATGAAATATTACATGTCTCAAGCTCTTCCACAATTGAGAAGACTTTACTCAGCAACTAAAAAGTATCACCATGAGGTATGTTTAACTTTGCAATGGGATTTTGTAGGATTGATGTATCTGAAAAATAATCATGTCACTCTTGAAGGTCTTTACATGTGAACTTCATAGTATACATTGTGAAAGTTTCCAACAATAAAAGATGCTCCATGGAAAGACCACTATTGCATGTGGCTCTGTGTGAACTCCAAGGCATGATTCTTTCTATTAAACCAGTTTTTACTCTTAAACATGTTGAATCTATGGAAACTTTTGGCCTCTTCCAACCATTGATGTGTGTTGCTCGGTTTTGCAAACAAGATTGTCAATAATCACGATTCAATCAGCCAAATTTTTTTTTTTCAAAATTAGTACAAGAACCTTGATGACTTAGATCATGAACTTTTGTTGGCTTTATATTAAAGTCCTGCGTAATGTTGCCTCAAACAATTTCAGCTATGTGCCGAAATTAATTTCCAAATCCCCGAGATAATTTGTTAGAAAGGGTCAACTGTCTTTCACATCCAATTTGAATCATCTGTCAACCATCTCTTTGCATGTATTCTAACTTGAATTCTGCATTCTTGTGTAAGTGATAACAGATTAGTTTTCGTCACCGAAGCACAGAATTTGGTTTGCTGTACGGTTTAAGGATTTAGATTTACTGGCAATTTGTATATCATCAATTTATGTATTCCTTGTGCTTGTTGCAAATTTATGGGGAAAATGATAGAAACAGGTTCAACTTTACAAGTTAATATGCATCAATATTGCCCAAGTCCAAAGATACACGCGCACATGCACACTCACGCGCACACGCACATACCTTCACTGGGAACCTTTGCCTTTGGAATAAACAAATGTCTTCATTCTTGTCTGTTTCTTGGCAGCTGCAAGGTTTCATCAAACAAGAAATGCGAAGAAACGAATTCACTGCAACCTTTGCCAACGATGAACTTGTATTCTTTCTGGTATGTTCTTGCATATCTACTGTCTTATTCTGGACCTGGGATCTTAAATTGCTCGTGTAATTCATTTTGGTGGGAATTTCAGGCATCTGCTTTGATTACCTTCCCTGTACTGAGTGCTTGGATGGCGCTGTCATCACGGCAAAACTAGATCGAGGAAATCTTCCATTCAATAGTAGTGGCTAACCCTGAAATTGTGAAAATCATCCCAGCTTGTTGCCAGTTTATGTTCTCTACTGTCATTTGGAATTTAGGATCAGGTTTTGCAACTAATAGGTGAAAGATTAGTCGGCAGATGCACACCCTCCCTTACCGGGTTGGTGTATAATACTCGTATCAACGGTTGCCAACGACATGAATTGGGTTCCGGATTAATACATTTCGATATCTAAGATTTTTTATTTATTTAATTAATCGATATCTGAGATAAATCCTTTTGAATTTGGACCCTGCGAGTATTTGATTTTGGTTTTATGCATCATCATAACAGTTAGAGACTACTGCAAAGTAATGATACCAACTGATGAACTATATGAGCAGATGTTTGGCTGGAATGAAGAAGATCAAATCATTTCAGCATGCATGCGTCGCCTGTCGGTAATTATCTTTGGTTGTGACAATTATCATAAAGGGGGCCGTACCGAATTATTCTCATAATTATTATCCTGTGTTCTTTTAGCCCCTTATATTGGACCACTGGCTTCTACCCTCTTCATCCGAAGTATGGTATATTTAGTTTCCAAACTGTATAAATTTATATATTATATAAAAGATAAAGAAAATAACATATTAAAAACGAGTTGAGCCTTGATTCTTGAATGATGGAACTCGAGCATTCAATTTAAAACTCGAACGTGATTAATCCATTATTCAATTCTATATGATCCATCCCCATCTCTCTTATTAGAAAACTCTCTTGATACTGAAACATCCTTGTCTCATTGGTCGCATGGTGTTTTCATGTATGCTACCTGTATTTAGGGTAAAGTATATTGAAGGTCGATCTTTTAAATTATTGAACTTTCAAAAATTATAAAATGATCATTAAATCTATCAAAATTGTACACTTATTATAACATTGCTATGATTATTTGTATTTTTTTTAAAGTTTCAATAACTAGAATGATTATTTGAGTATATTAAGTAACGTTTAGTATGCTTACCCCAATATTTATCGTATTACAAAGAATCTAAATCGTAGCATTTTGACCTTTGTAGAGGCTAAGCAACCTAAGCTCACCCACCTTTTTATTACAACAACTCTAATTTTAAATGTTGGTATAGGTGATGGGGGATGCCTCATTTACACAGAACCCAACTAATAACTTTGAATTTATTTGATTTTCAACTACTTTCACCCATGAAGTTTCACTTGATAGCCTACCAAACCCCAACAACACCGGCAGAAAATATGCTTTGTGAATTGGGAGTTTAGTTGGAATTTCCAGGCAGCTACCTTGGACTTTCTTCACCTCAATTTTAGGACCATTTTCGCATTCACTTTAATTCCAGACGTTTCATGGTGTTTGGTTTTAGTTGAGATTTCTTGTCTAATCCTTAGCTTGTTGCCTTGAATTTTTACCTTTTATTTTACTACACTAATCGCTTTGGGGGCTTTTTTTGTAGGGTTTTTTTAGTTGGTATGTGATATGAAGTGTCCTCAAACAATGGTAGAGATTCGAACTTTGATATTGTGAATGAAAAAATTACATGAAAAGAAATATTTTTAAAATAAATATTTGTAAAATCTAATCTAAATTAATATATCAATAATAAATCAGATATCAATGATTATATTAGGCAAAAATAGATACGAGTTTGATAGCGAATGCCAGCTCCGGTGATTACATGCTTTTTATGGCTGAATGCTCGTTTACCGAAAATCACGCTACTAAACTTCACTTAATCAAAGGGTAGAAGGTTCCTTTGTTACTGAGGCAATATTTATTAATAATAACTCTTATTTATCATTAAAAAAAAGTTGATGCTAAAAAGAAAAGGGGGGAAATAGTAAAATACATATTTTTCCCTTTAATTTTGAATTTTAATATATTTACATTGAATTAAAAGACTACATGTCGGCTAAGATGAACTTAAAATATTATATAAAAATTACGAGAATACAAACTTCTAAAATTTTAACAGCGTGAAATTAAATCAACAATAAAAATATCTAAATTATATAAGATTTTAAATTTTAAAAAGAATATAAACGCACTCGGTACCCTATCGATTTTATTTGATCTAACCCTAAAAATGTGAAGTGTATGTATATTCATTTTGTCGTCCAAGAAACGTCAAAGTGTCTTAATCGAGATCTATCTTACACTAGACTTTAAGTCTTCGTTAACTCCAACCTTCCCACTTGCCTAGTTTAGGGTTTTGATTTCTTTATTGGTTTAGTCATTGTTGCTTGATTTTTCAACGCTTGGTGAATCACAGAGGTGACTCAAAATCGTTATGGACGGAAGTTTCTTTTCCTTTTATAACCCTTTTCACTTTTTCTATTTCTTTTCTTTAAGCGTCCTCAAATTTTCTAAAAGATCAATTGCATCCATAATTTTTTCCTACTTAATTGAACCCTCAAAAAGGAAAAATTAAATCAATTAAACTTTCTAATCAAGAAATTGAATCAATTAAATCTTTTCATCAATTTTGAATCTTAATAAATAATAAATTTATTAAAATATCAATTAACAATATCAACTACTGATTGATAAAAAAATTGTTAGATTCAACGATGAATATTGATTAAAGAGGTGAATTAATGAAATTTTGAAATATGAAGACTTAATTGAGTGTAAAAGAAATTTAAAGACTTAATTGAGTTTTTCAAAAAGGTTTACACCTCCTTACACCTAAGTTTTTTTTTTTTAAAAAAATGATGCATTTGGTTTTGGCAGCAGTTAGAGGCTCTTTAAATTGTATTAAAAACATTTGGTAATCAAAATTGAATTACAATTAAAGAATATGGATGGATGAAACCATATCTAAGCTGCCCTCATTCATGATGTTGTTGCAAATCTTGCACTCTAACGATGCAAATGAGAATGAAGCTCTATTTTTATGCATATGTAAGTAACATTATATATTCAGTTTCTTACGTTGTAAATGAATAAAACTAGATTGAAAGAATTCTTTTATATTGTCTCTACCCAATTAAATTTATTATTTATTGATTTTTTAACGTCAAAATTTTTAAACTTTGACCATGATTATTTTAAATAATTTAAAGAATTAAATTTTATAAAATATATATTTCAAAACTACAAGATTGAATGTTTGTAAAATATCTTTTTTCATATTTTATTAACAATATATTTTAAATAATAATGAGACAAAGTTGAAAAAAAATGACCAACAAAAGTCAATAAGGGATAATTTAAGTGGGACGGAAATTATAATAAATATCTACAATATTTAATATAGATTGATTAATCAATAAATTAAATACCTAAACATTTTTTATATTAAAGAATCAACAATATTTAATGATCAACAAATTCATACGAAATGAATAATGTATAATTAAACACCAAACTACCTCTATAATTAAAGATCGATTGTTATTTCTAAAGGTCATTTGTTTGAGCATTAATAATTACAGAGTACCTAAACATTTACCCTTAAGGGTGCGTTTGGTTCACGGAATATAAGATTACCAGTGGGAATGTAAGATTACCAAGGAATAGCATTACTGGGAATGTTGTATTTTGTGTTTGGTTGGCTTAGCAGGAATGTAAGATTACCGTGTTTGGTTAAAGGAATAAAAGATTATTGGAATGTATATTTGACCAAATTGTCCTAATTATATATTTGTGTAATATTTACAAGTTGGAAAATATTTATATATTTTCTTTAAAAAAATTAAATTCATAATATTTATATATTTTTTACAAAATTAAAAATAAAAAAAAATTAATGAAAGGGTAAAATTTTATTTTAACCCTTGAACTTTATATAAAATTTTAATTATAGATTTTTTTTTGTAAATCTAAAATAATTTAAGGATAAATTTGTAATTTAACCTTCGTAAAAATTTTATTATTCGATGACAGAATAAATATATTTTTGAAAAAAAATAAAAATTTAAGGGCATTTTAGTCCAAAACGCCGGTAATCCAACAATACCTAAGGAAAGAGAGGTAATGACATTCCCAGTAATATACCCAAAAAAATCCACTATTGGTAATCTTACATTACCGGGAATAGGATTCCCGGGCTAACCAAACGGGGGAATGTGGATTCCATTCCCATGGGAATCCCACATTCCCCCATCCAAACACCCCCTAAATGGTTAAATATACACGATCACTTATAATCACGCTAGATTAATAAAAGCAACCATTGTTGAACGCATAAAGTAGGATAGTGAGCGTAGAGACCATTTAGAGAAGCACATGGAGAGAGCAGCAAAATGTCATTGTTCAATGTCCCACCAATTTCTCCTTAATTTTCGCATCCTCACCCGCCGTTCCATTTCCTCTAAAATTCCTAACCTATAGCTACCCTCTGTTCACAATTTCCTTTTATTTTTCGATGATTTACTGTGTATAATTTTATAAATTATGAATTATATGATAATATAGTATTTGTTTATTAAAATAAACATTCAGTTTCATTTTTAATAATATATTATTATTTAATTTTTTTATACATTATCTGTACATCGAATTTAAATCTTATAACTATTCAACTTAGTGAGAATAACCGAAGAAGGAGAAAAGGAAAAACGGTTTTGAAATGGGGGTTATATACAGATGGTTCATTTTGCGATTAAAACATGATTTTATGATCACCAAAGAGGGTTGGTTCAAGTGGTAAGCAACTTGATATTGTTTAAGCAATGTCTCCGGTTCGAGTCCTTATGTATGCAGAAAATCTCTGTTGGGAGGCTCACCCACCAAAATTAGGTGTACGACCCGGGTCGATCTAGATTAGTCAAGGTGAAACCTTCGAATTGGAGGGAACCAAAAAAAACAAACAAACATGATTTTATGATCAATCTTAGGGTCTAGTTTCAATATTTAATCTGGTCTAATCTGATTTATATACTTTTGTAACGTCTTTAATTACTCTACATAAATAAAACATGGATTATTTCAATTAAAGGAAAAGTATATAAATGATCTTACGATTATATGATGTTGTTTTATTGAGTCATTTGACTATCAAAAGTTATAAAATGATCCATCAACTCTAAGTTGTTGTTTTTGTTGTGTCCCTGACTATTAAAAATTGACATAGATCTTTTATTAATTTAGGGTAATTTATAAGTTGTGGTATACGTTTTAAAGACTTTTAATCATTTGACAATGAATGCTCAATACCCTGCTCGAACCCATGACCTCTAAAGAAACAAGCATTAACCACTGAAGCAACTTGGTTCGTGCTAACAT